CCCCCCCCCCCCCAAAAAAAAAAAAAAATCCCACATGCATACTACCCTTTAGGGCTAAGCCCCGGGTGTTTCAAATGTCTGGCTCCGCCTCTGGACATAGACACATAGCACTCCACTCTTTTTGGCCTCAGGCTTGGAGGTGCTTCTCGTTCCTGCTGCTTCACATTAGGCTGCAAACCTCTCTAGTGTGAGCTGGAGGCCACCACCTGATGAAGTCAATGGAACCACATCATCTGCAAAAAGCAGAAAGCTATTCTGAGGCCAACAAAGTGGAGGCTTTCTGCCATCTGGCTATGCCTAGAAATTCTGTCCATAAAAATTATGAACAGGAGTGACAAGGACAGCCCTTTGTTCCCATTTATTCTACCTGAAACTATTAAAATTGCCATAAACATTCCTAACAGCCTGAAAGAAGATTTGAAACAAGGAGAAAAGGCTGAGCTATGTCAAATTTCATGAGAACGCTGGGCTTAAAACCTGTTGAAACAGGTCTTATGGATTGATGATTCAAAAGTTTTTGATTTAAATCAATGTAAGTATGTACGGAGGAGGTTAGAAGAAAGGTACAACAGTTTTTATACCCATCCAATAACCATGGTGTATGTCACAGTTTGTGGCTGGAACCTGGAGCCTGGAGAACTATTCCTAAAGACATTAAAGAAAAAATTACAAGCTTGTAAAACAGAGTTCAGGCTGTGCTGAAAAATAAAGATGGTCATACCAAATATTGAAGCTCAATAGAATATATAGTTTTTGCCTTTTACTGTACATGTGTATTCCCACCTACGTTTGCGCATGTTTCAATAAATCACTGCACTTATTTTCCGTTTTACTGGCAAAATATAGAAAAAAGAAAGGAGGCTCAAGTCTTTTTCAATGGATTGTGAACCACTAAAAAAAGTGAATGTGAACGTACGGAGAGAAAGCGAGAGAACCCTGGGTGAACGTGCCTGTGTGATTTTACTCCATATCCCGGCATCCACCGCGGCACCGCCCTGTTATCTCATTGACGGTCAGCGGGGAGGCCTTTCCACATCTAGCTACATTAAAAAAAAACCAACAACAACCCAAAAAACTTGAGCACTGTGTACATACCTGATGGTAAGTGGATATCTGTGTCATGTTATTTCAACTCGCAAACAGTATATGTGTTGAGTAAAACCAACACAGTTTTGTTAGGGTTAGCTTATGTTAGTAGCAAGCTGCTCTTCCTGGACTAGCTGTATCAAAGTGCTTTCCGGTGTCCCAGCCAGAGCGGAGCTCAGATTGGGGAGTTGATAGTTTTGTGCTGACGGCTAACATTAATATCATTACTATGCAGCCAAGTCACGGCCGGGGAAACTGAGGAGACTTGGTCTGGCTATGAGTTGCTACATGATTGGTCATATTCCTAACTTTATTGTTAAATGATTAAAACCGCATAACTTAATTCACCTTGCCCAGACCGCCCTCCTTTGCTAGCTTAACTAGTTAACTTAGCAAACGAATCTCTACCGGGAGTGTTAGCTAAGGCTGACTAGCTCATTCCGCAGCTAACTTAAAATGACGTGCAGGTAACTTCTCGTACCATCTCCTTTTAACAGACCAGCGTGTCTTCTCTGTCTTATGCGTATGATCGTCTTCTGTAATCGGCTTTAAGCTATTTCTGACAGCGCTCTGAGGCAATGAGTAAGTCATGTTTGCTTGCGAAGTTAACATTTTCATGCTTGCTGGCTGGCCTTGAACTCGAGAGACTGTTGCAGGGACTCAAACATTTTAATGTGCATTTTAACAACGTAGCTGGATAATATATGTTCAAAGTAAGGTGTGCTAAGCGCCACCTTAGCAAACGCTGGGTGGTTTATTAACACTTGCGTAATCCTGTCAAATCCGAACCATGGTTTGATTAACACTGGGGACGCTTTACGTCCCATTAGTGTTGGTAGTTAGCTTTTATTTCATTTCCACTATACTATAAGATAAAATACCACAATCAAATTACAGTGCCATTTCATTATAAAGTTTACAATTGCTTCATTTTACTACAATCTGTTTCAGGACACCTCAAGTGTTTCAATGGCGCTATCAGGAAGTACCACTAGCACCCATACCCCGAACTCAACAGGTGGTGGTTCATGGGAGATCAGTGACAAGGCCAAGCTTTGTCGCTTCCTCTGCTATGGCTCAGAGGGAGCCTTGTACAGTACCAGAGAGAATGGTCACATCAGAGTGGAGAAGACTGGAGCCCTGCAGTCCATGCTGCAGGAGAAACAAGGCGCTGAGGTGTTGGAGGAAATAAAAAGGTTCGCTCAGGATGGGCAAGCTGTCAGACTAGAGCCCTCCATTTTTGCCTTGGCTTTGTGCTCCCAAAACCCAGATGTGAACACCAAACAGGCAGCGTTCAAAGCCCTGAAGGATGTTTGTCGTGAGCCTGCCCATCTGTTTTCTTTCATCAAGTACAAGAAGGAATTAAAAGAGCACATGAAATGTGGGATATGGGGGCGTGCCCTGAGGAGAGCACTGTCTGACTGGTACAATGAGCAAGATGCCATGAGTCTAGCTGCTGCAGTGACCAAATGTAAGCAGAGAGAGGGCTGGTCACACCAGGATCTGCTCAGACTCTCCCACACTAAACCAGCTAGAGATGGTAAGTATAGAGACCCACGTCATTTAGCCTGCAAAACGTTATTAGTAATCAGTTGAATAAACGTCTGCAGTTATCCAACTTTCTTCTTTGGGGTTTTATTGGATGTTCTCTGTTCTGAGTATATATGTGCATATTTATAAACTCCCCATGCTGAATTTTAATCAGTACAGTGTAAGTTTTTATTTTGTTTCACTTTAGTCAGTGCTAACATGCAACGCCCATCTCTTTGTGTTTTCAGCTATTGCCTTGATCAGCAAATATGTAACAAAAGGGTGGAAAGAGGTCCAGGTTGCTCATGAAAACAAAGAGAACGCCGAAGAGGTTATCAGGGTGCTTTCATATCTTGAAGTGGTGGAAAAGGTAAAGCACAGTCGGGATGAAACTGAGGTCGTCACTTTAATAGAGGAACACAAGCTTGAGAGGGAACAGCTGCTGACCGAGCATCTGAAGTTTAAACAGGCGAGTCTGTTAAATCATTTTAACCTGGTTGCTGTTTATAACATAGACCGTAGTGATAATTGATGAGATGAATCAGTTTTTACACTTGGGATCTTATTAAAATTAGAAATGCACACGAAATAAGAAGATTTTCAGTGTTCTCAGCCCAAACTGGTGACTGACTGGGCTGAGAACACGTAAAGCAGCGCACACTCATAACCACAGTTTGACAAGTGGGGAAACTGCTCACACTGAGTGACTAGATCAGTGTCCAATGCAGAAAACCACGGGGAGATGACCACAAAAATGTTTAACAACAAATCTAATCACTTTCACCTAGCTGAACATACGAAGCTAGAAAAGGCAAAGTGGCTAAAGGAATACAGAACTCAGAGAAGGTACAAGCTAGCAGCGTCTGTATGAGCAGTCAAAGCTTAAAAACGATTATGAGGAAAATTATGAAGGCAAGTGAAAAACAGATAGGGCTTGTGAAGTTCAAAACAAACTGGGTAGTAATGAAAGCAACTCGTATAGTTTTGTTAAATATATTGTACCTGCTGTTGTTTGGTAAAGTAAAATATGCCATGTAAAGGGGGGTGTACAGCAATTTATTTTCAGTTTAGTTTTTAATCTGTACCTCCTTCCAGTTGTGGCTCAGGTGGTAGAGCAGGTCACTGATCAGATCAAATCACTTTTTTTTTTTTTTTTT